GAGGTGGAAAATTGCTTCAAATAATTTGTAAAAACAAGAAACTAGCGTTATTGCCATATACTTGTCGAGTATCTCTCGGTCTCCCTTTTTATAAACAAGAATGATGGGTGGCTAGACTCAATCTATCCGGAAATGTACTGATAAGGGGATTAAATAGATAACATAGGGGATACATCAAATAGTCAGAAACAAACTTTATTGCATTAATCGATATGCCATCTGGGCTGCCCGATGGTTTGTTTTTGAAGTCATGTAGAACTGATAGTAACTCTGAAAGAACAATATCGTTAACGAACAAAGATGTTTATTTATTTATTTATTTACTCATGTTTGGGGTGCAACATAATGTGAATTCCAAAGACAGCACCCGCTCCTTACTATAGTGATAAATTAAAAAGATAAATAGATTACAAAATCCAGAAGATATGAAAATCTGTAACACAAGCTTACTATATGAGAATAAACAATACTATGATATAGCAACTACTATAAAACGATATAAATTTAAAATTTAATTTTTTTAAAAATTAGCATGTATCAGTTACACTATTCCATGAATCGCACTAGTCACCAAAAAACACAAACACAGAGCACGATACTAGATAGCTTTGATAACAAAACATTAGATTGTATGATACTATCCTATGTAAGCGGCCTCCATACCGTTGCTTTAAACTTGTTAAAATTAACCACAAAAATGTCCAAATTTATAGAGGTATCGTTAAACACCCTCTGGGCCCTAATTACAGGTGAGTTGACTCCTAAATTCGTTCTACAGAAGGGAATCCTGAAAAACTTGGAATGGCGTTAGTTTCTATCTGGCACATTAATATTTATTTTTGAAAGCAAATAGGGACAGTCAAAATTGTTGAATATTTTGTATATAAGACACACGTCGGACATCATTCTTCTACTTTTAAGGTCATGATATTGAAATGTTGTCTTATATGATCATACTTTCCGTCACGTTCCGGATTGCCGATTTTAAAACTTAATCTCTTCAGTAATCTATTTTGTACACTTTCAATTCGATTTATGTATGTAATATACCGAGGGTTCCATATAACGGAAGCAAAGTTCAACTTGTTATAAATATATGCATAATATAGGGATGTCATGGCTCTTGCACTCTTGAAATCCCTGCACATTCTACAGATAAATCCCAACATTTTGTTTGATTCGCAAATCAAGTTTTCTATGTGTGGTTGGAAAGTCATTTTTGCATCTAGGAGGACTCCTAGGTCCTTCACTATATCTGATTCCTTCAAAGGTATATTTTTGATTTGGTACCGGTATGTTAGATTGTTGTATAAAACGCTATGTTTCATATCCCAATATAATACTTTCCAATTCTAAAAAATTCTTCGAAGGAATCCCAATTTCAAATAAGGCTTCTTTTTCAAAATATGATTGACTTGGATGCCCCAATGTAAGTGAAGATCCAATACTATCCAAGGTATTTTATGTTTGACACTCTATTAATTTGCAGTTTTGATCATTAATGTTGGAGGAGATATCCGTGTAATTTGGCAAATGTCCAGCATAAGATGCAAATGTGTTTTAGAATAGTAAACCCTCAATTATCTTTCTTTTCTCAATTTTGACAAAATCATTTTCAATTATATTTTTCAGGTGAGGCTAGTCATTGTCTTCATATAATAATGCAGTATCATCTGCAAGACTGGTTATTTTGCCAACACAATTAATTTGGAAAATTTCGTTAAAATATGTAATAAATAACAGTGGACTATTATTTCTTATATTACTCCTTTCGGAGATATGTACTTTAGATAAAGATAGGAAATATTTTCACAAGTTAGTTACTCTTCATTAAGCAAGATATTGATATTGAGATTTTTTGGAAAAGCAGGGTCTACAGATTAATGCTAGAAAATCACATCTCTTGTTATTTGTCAAATTGAAAGACAATACTTTTCATGCTAAAATAAGAAGTAACCTTGTTCAGTTACTGTGAGAAATTTAGAAGTAGAATTTGATTCAAATCTAAGATTCAAGCCTCATATTAATAAATGTATCCAGAAGGCTTATGTTTCTCTGAAAGTTCTATATGCTCATCGATATGTCCTTCCTGTTCAACTTAAAATATTGCTGCGTGAAGCACTAGCACTACGTCATTTCAATTTTTGTGAGATTGACATGGGCAGAATTGAGCGTGTAAGAAGTCCTGCCTGAGATTCATTTACTGTCTACCCAAGCTTGGAAGAGATTCCCATAAATTACTTGACTAAAATTGGTTGAATATGTGATATCGACGTGAGTTGCATGCATGTAATCTTTTTCACAAAATTCTGTTTTTAAGCAACCACCCTATTTATTCAGTATACATACATCGGCTTTATAATCAAATCCCTAATGACGTGAAAATTCGGCATTCAAGCCAGCTTAAAATCAAATCTCAAAAAATTATGTTAGAAAAAGTTAATTTTTTGTACTATCATTCATATTTTTTTCAGGGATTTCTAAGGTGGATCTCTTTTCATAAATATGTAATGGCTTCAGGGCTGAACTTAGATCATTTATAAATGCTTCCAGCCCTTTTTGTATAATATTTTATTTATGTATTTTGCTGCAGTGTATTATTATTTACCCAAACTGTAAAATGCAAATACACATTATTATTATTATTTAAGTTAGGTTTACACATTTATTTTGGTGAAAATATACTTGCTTCACTTATACACTTAGTGATATTTCTTAGCATTATCGTGATGAACTCTTGTGAATAGACGTTTTAAGCGGCATTTACGTTTATTTCAAGTTGTTTTTCATTATGTTTTATGCCTTATCCACCAAGTTCATCTCAAAGAAATTATATCGGATGGAGATCAAGGAACTGGACTGGGAATTCCAAGGATTGTTGTTTCTTGAACAAATTTGTTTTACAACTTGAATGAGTATTTCTCATTGTTATGTTTGTTATCTCTATCATGAATTCTGTTCTTGTAGGTCTCTAATAACCGAACTTTATTCAATCATGAAACTGTTAGGTCATAACTGTCCAATTGCTAAGCTAAATATAACCGAGGAAGCAACAGTTATTTTTTCCAAAACCAATAGCCTGCAATTTTCGCTAAATTCAAAGTTTCCACTCACATCTCCGAAATAAGGAATTTCTCGAGCTATGCTCACTTATAAACTCTGCTTCATAATCTTATGTGTTGGATCTGACCTTGAATTTTGTTAATACACGAATATGGAAACTTTCCCTAATATAACGTGAATAACCTTAGATATCAGGTAGATTGTAGAAGCTGTTTACCTGATGGCCCTCCTCCATCATTGTAATTGTAATCGTATGACGAGAAGCTTGAAAAGCGGTTCATTTCCAAGACGCGTATTTCACACAGTCTCGACGTGAATAAAGTGAAGCTGTTAAAAGAAATTCGTCGAAATACCTCGAATAACAAAATACCTTACGTAAATAAAATAATTTTATTTTGAAACATAAGGTTTTCGATAGAAGCAATACAGAGTGTTACTTTATTATAGCCTTCCATTACACACACACCCATGAACAAAATTCACCACGAAAAGTTCATATAAACATGTGATGTTTCCTGAAAACTCTAGTTTTCAACACGCAGGGCAAGAGTTTCGAAAAAAATGTAATTATTTCAGTATTGCCTATTGTAATAAGACGTTAAGTTAGCACTAACTAAAAGATAATTATAAAGTCCAGTGGCATCCCGAGAGCGGCCTCACGAATGATGTTGAGAATAAAAGGTACGCCACTGAATTTTTTCAAAAATTTTTTTGGATTCTGCAAATGGTGGCGCAACTTGTTTGTTTATCGGTATCTCTACGTATGTTACTTAGTTTCCGAGGAAAAAAATTAAAATAACTTCATTACATGTCAAAACCAGATTTTTTAGGATACATGTTTGTATGAACAGAATTTGGTTCAGGAATGCACTCTTATATTTACGGCCTATCATGAGATAAACTTAACCTGACTACTCGTATAACGAACTTTTGAGCATAATCAAATTTCAAGATACTTAGCACTTGATGAATAAGTGAGACAAAAAATCGATATTGTTTGAAAATGACCTAAATTTTCTGTTTTTTCAATTTAGAATTGTATTAAACGATCATATTTGCTGTAAAACTCCACAAGGCATTATCAAGAGACTATGATTATCGGGACTTCCTCCTTCCTTCTCATTTAGCCACGAATTCTCAGGTAGAAGGTTTCTACGGCATCTAATCTTTTTAGATAAGGAGCTGTGGAAGTTATTTCCAGTCTCTAACTTAATGTTTTGCAATGTAAAAAAATGGATATTGGTTTCGTAGACTTATATTATGCTCTCTGTGTTATTTTGGCAAAATCAAAACAAACAATAGTATGATGCTGAGCTACATGTGAGAAATAGGATGTACCCCTATTATTGCTAACAGTATAGATAAGCGAAAAGAGGAGTTTTGATTATTTAAAATTTACTTCTTTATTTAAAATCTTGATGCATAGACGTTCTCAGCATCATTGATGGCACGTGAAATATAATAATTGCCAGAATTCAAAATTATTTACCTCCAAACGAAATGTTAGCCCTAAATCGGCCAAAAAGTTGGAAAATGGAGAAAACCAGGGGTTGGAAATTTTTAGAACACAATAGAAATAACTGTTTCACAAGAAAAATCGCTACGGACAACTAAATGACTTTAGCGAGTTCAAACTTGTACTGAAGGCGGACCACAAACATATTCCCTTATCTGCCCCCTGTTGTTAGATCGAACGGTACGCTGCTACTACTTAATGTACATACCTCGTATGCCTCAGGCATTGTATGAATTACTTCACTCCCGCCAGTAGATTCGTCAGATGATGTTGCCTTACTATGAGCTGATCTGATCTAGTCCGCTATATATGACCGTCCGAGGGTATCGAAAATTCACTGTTAGAAAGAACCGATAAGTCCGAATCTGTATAGAGTACGCGTCGATTTGCTTGACACTGTAAACGGCGGTGCGTGCCACATGCCGTAGCTGATCGCTTATGAATCGATTGCTGAAAATCGCTTTAGGGAATTTGTCTGAGTGTAGCTTCTGAGTTGCCAATTTTGTGGTTGTATAGTACTTACCTCGGCTTCGTAACCTTCCCTAACGTTGAAAGTAAGATCATGCTGTATATCATTAGTGAACTGCTGCTGGTACTCAGGGTACAACCTGAGCACTTCCACGAGCCCCTGCATGTGGATGCACTTGAGATCACAGTAGGTGAGCGCCCTAACGTCGCTGCTCGACTTGATGACGATGTCTCCTCCTCTTTGGCCACCGGTACCCCCAGGGGGGCCGTCACCCCCTCCTCCAGGGCCATTGCAGCCCATGCTGCTCGATTGGAGGTGCATCTTCATGTCGCTGCCTACCAAGTCGCCTTTGCCTGGAATAAATAGAAGCTGGTTGTAAGCACATTTGGAAAATAGAAAATTTTTTATCACTATCAAAAGAAATGGCACCGAATACCCTCCCCCATCTTAAGGCTCAATTTTCAACGCCTCCAAATTTTTTCTAAATACGAGTAGGAAGCTCTGAAGCATCGAGAAACGAAGTTTGAGCGATTTTTATCTTTTTCGTTTTTTGCCTTCAGCTCCGCCGCCACTTTACGATTTTCAAAAACTACAAAGATTTTTCATCCTCGGCCTAGTAGTAACACTATGTGAAAATTTCATCAGAATCTGAGCGGTACTTCTCAAGCTATAGGCGGTGATAAAATTAGCGGACAGACCGACAGACAGAGACCAACAGACTGACTGAAATAAATGACTAGGGTCCAACCGAAACCACATGTAGGGTTCACCTGCGCGGCTGATTCGGTGTAAAAAAAAAACTGAGCGATATAACAAGAAGATGAAGACCTTGAAGATCTACTGAGGAGAGAATGAAACCCAAAAACCTTAATTTTGAAGAGAAAGCAGTGCCACAATTCAACAGAAACAAGGTTTTGTAACATTTTCGGGTGAGCAAGTGTCAGAAGAAATTTTAATGAAATTCCATTTAAAATATCAGCCACCGCCAAAGTGCTTTGTGTTTATTGACCCGGTAATGGCAAAATGAAGATTATGAATACAGTCTGAAAAATCCGAACAATAGAGGACACAACTTTCAAGAACCATAATTAATACGATTTTTGTGATCACTAATCTTTTGAAAATTTTTGTTACAGTGGCAAAATGCGTAATTACGCGATTTAAGTCTTACTTCTATGTATTTTCGTAGTCTCAGTTCTTTTTGTCCATGTTGAGAATTCTGTGAAACTTATAGCTATGTAAGCAGATCTTGATAATTGTAGTTATGTTCAGCGTTTTGGCTAAAAGTGTATAACACCCTTTTTTATTCAAAGACGTTATTAAATCCTTGTAGTATTTTCACTTATTTCTTCTAGTAACAGTCTGCATATACAGGCTGTTTCTAATTTGGCACCCACCATTGGGTTTTTGGAAACTGTAAGGGATACGAAGTCGCTTAAGTGGGGTAGTCAACAAAATGACACTTAGAAGGTTTCGAAATTCAAAATACTTCCGTAGAGTAACGGAAAAACTGAATTTTCCCAAAATGGTTCTGATTTTTTCCTGCCATATTTTCTCCTCTACACGAACGCATAATCAGAATTTCTATATGACGGTTCGTCTCTTGTCCTCCAGCATCTACTTTATTATTTCTTAAGGACACTATATTGCATTTTTGCACAGATGAATAGAGTTTTTAATTTTGATGAAAAAAATGCATAATACGTCATACATTGACGTTGTCAAACCTTGATTACTTTAAGAAGAACTAAATTTCTTAGGTAGGCCTTGAAATTATCAGATATTTGTTTCGCTCACCAGATTTATCCCAAAATCGCTCTATTTTTTCCCGACTCTATTCGAGAAGGGATTTCAAAATTGTCATTGTTACTTATTCTCGTCTGCAAGATGGCGTAGTCGAATGTTCAATTCGAAGTTTCTTCTTTCGACTTCCATCATAAAATATGTTTTTTCATACGGAATTTTCTACATTCAAATGGACTTTTTAAGTCCTAAATTCAGTGATTGTTAGTTGACCATAAATTTGTTGTTGGATGAAAATTAAAAGGAAATAAAAATATATGGTGAAACCTGAATTCGAAATGAAAATTTTTTTGATGGTATTCGTAATAACAATAATAACCATAAATAAGCAGAGGTGTTCACAGTCTTCCAAACTCTGTTGCTTTGCAAACAAATGAAATTTGATAATTTCAAGGCCTACGTAGGAACCTCCATAATAACTGAGATTTTGCAATGTCAATGTATGACATACATTTTTAAATCAGAAAATTCTATTCATGTGTGTAAGAATCCAATATGGCGTCTATAAGAAAAAATTAAGTTGATGCTGGAGGACAAGAGATGAAACGTCATATTGAAATTCTAATTGTGCCGTCTTGTAGAGCAGAAAATGTGCAATTTATTTTGAAATCACACCACAGATAGAGGCAGGAGAAAATTAAAATCATTTTGGGAAATTTCGCTTTTTACGTCTCTTTCCGGACTACTACTACTACTTTCAATTTCAAAACGTTCTAAGCGACATTTTGCTGATTATCTGAATACGCAACTTTGCCCCTATTTAAATGACGTCGTATCCCTTGAAGTTTCCACGATCTCAATGGTGAGGGTCGAATTTAAAATACCTTGTATAGGGAACATATTATTTTCACCACAGCAGAAGCAGTCACTCCTCCGTGAGCACCCGTGAGAAAAAGCTGTATCAGAAAATCTCCAGAATTCGTTATTTTATTTTTTTTTGATCAGCTTTGGGTTGGACTCACATAGCTAGAACATATAAATACTGTTTGTGCATACACTTCGAGGGTGGGCGACAAGGGAACAGGGAACAAAAACCCTACTATCCGAATTTTATTAAAAGTCATTCACAATACATTGTACATTTCTCATGCATAATCACTGCAAACGTTTATTCAGAATACTTACTATGTATTTACTTCTTCAACTTGTCATTCGATGTGTGGAATTATATTTCTTCGAATTTATGTTTATACTTTTTATATGAGAATTGAATGGTAATTACTGAGTAAATCTACTTGACATTTTTGGGTGCTGTTATTTTTCTAGAAAGTGTCCATGTTTTTCTCTCTAAAGGAAAATTCCAGCACATTTGGAAAGTTGTACGAAAAATCCTACACCATTCTGGTTTACAACAAATGAACCCCCAACTTTTTCAAAATTGTCTACTTCATTCTGAAAAACTTTACATTCGAATAATTATTGTACTTGATTTCGAGCTCTGACAATTTATTGGCAAATTATCTGCTGACAGATTTGACAGTCATCAAACAGTCATAAGTTTCTGTACGAACAGCGGATTAGTTGTCGGTAATCGGTCTGACCTCCCTCAGCCAACTCGTAACGTTCTCATGTAGGCAATTAATACAGTCAGCGACGTGTCAGTGACAGCTAACTGCGTAAATTAGGTCATAACGTGTCGCCGACTATCAGTTTGCTGATTGTCAGCAAACAGGCTGCGAACAAACCAGATAATTTCACGGAGCTACTTGAAATTCTTCAAATCCTTAGGCTTCATACTTGTCACGTGCCAAAATCACGCAACCTTTTTTTTTACTATGTTGATCATTTATCAGTAATTTGAATTTTAGCAAATTCCATAGTTTATTGATTGTCTGATTTCACACGTATTACATCTTTCTTTCTCAGCGATTCGATATTGTGTTGAAATCTGGACACTATTAACGACTATTTGAGAAATTTCCTCATAAAATACCGTGGGTCCCTCGTAGAGTTGGTTCCACCCATTGACAACCAGTGCCACCTTGTGATTTCTTTACGTACTAGCCGTATAGGGATATTTGGTCCTATCAAGATATCTTTTAAAATTTAATTTCCTATTAACATACCTTCTTCACCTATCAAGATAACTTGTTTTAAAAACTTGCGTGTACAGATGCGTCAAGCGCCATTCTTCTTTTCTTTCTGCTGAGGTTTGGCTGTGTGAGGGTCGCTTCGTTAGCTTCCAGATTCTGGTTTAGACACTCAAACACCAGATTATGGAGTACCATCTTTCATTTGGTACCTTACGTTTAGTTGTTTTGGTTTTGGTGCTACCTTGTCCATTTTCTAATGGGATTTTAACCTTCAGCGGTAAGTTCTTTTGGTATACCATCAGACCACGTCCACTAATGCATGTCCTGCTTCCTTTTAGTGGGAAGACATTGCGGAGAACCAACATTCACACCTCTCCTGTTTTGTTTTGAAGCTGCCTTCTAGCTGTTCCGTAGCCACCCCTTACCTTGACAAAAAACTGTCTGAACTGGTGAAATATCATTTTAATCGGGTATTTTATAGATATTCATATATTGATTATTGCTGACTGAAAATTTTAGAGTGTTCTTGATTTTGTTTGGCTTTTTTCGTATTCAAATATAGGGCAGTGCCTACATGGCACCTTCTAGTGGGCAGTACGTTACATTAATCATGATTTTGATTTTGAGCTACCATAACATTATTTTAGAACAATGGATAACTTTCTGAGGGTATATCACTTTAGTACATTTTTATCTTTTCTCGCCTTTGCTTTACTTTTCTCGTAAAAAAATGTGTACATGGTTTTTCTTCAGTTTGACTGTTTTCAACGAGAAGTTTTGTCTCAGACAGAGAGTAGATTTTTAAGCAGTCTTTCTCCCTCTGGTGTTTTTCATGCCGTAAATTTTGTGCACGAGGTAAGACGTGCCCACTGGTTTTTGACCTTAGCGTTTGTGATCTGAGAACATCTTAGCTGCCCCTAGAGCTGTAACTGGAAGAAGACCATTATCCAGATAAGCTTAGGTTTAGGCGTTAAAGTATTTGTAAAACCTATCCCCGGACTATAAATTATATTTCCCTGCCCCCTTTACTTTTTCAATAAATATAAAAAATCGCACATTGTATAGGTACAAAGACTTTTTTTTTGATTCTAATAAAGACACTTTAAAAGTTTAAATGAACTAATTAATGTTTTTTATCGAAAAACTTGAATAAAATAAGAGTAGGTACTAATGAGACACTTGAGATTGCATGTTCTGTACCAGTTGGTTGATTCTAGGTTCTGTTTTTGCCAGAGCTATCATCAGATCTCTATCGACATCAAGACGACTTCGCTGTTTAGTTTTAATTAAAACTAGAGCCAAAAAACCTGTCTCACATAAGTAAGTTGAAGAAAAAGGAACTAGTATTCGTAAAGCAAGAGACGCAAGTGTCGAATTAACAGGCAATCTTTTGATCCAAAATTTCTCCAATGTTAAAAGATGGAAGTCATCTTTAATGGACGAATCAGCCTTCATTTCTAGAAATTCTTCCTGAACTTCTTCTGGTAATTGTGACACATCGACAAAAATGGATTTCT